TGTGTGTGTGTGTGTGTGTGTGAATGCATGATTAGTCGTCTTCATCTCACCTTCAGGTGCAGCTGCGCTCCTTCCTCCTCGAGCTTCACAGGAACACTGAGTGCACGATGAAAAGCTGATGCTTTACCTGCTTCTGCCTACTGAAGCCCCGCCCCCTACAGGTGTGTACAGGGTCATCAGGTAAGAGAAACTGTAGAAAACCAGCGTGCTGCGTCGAGCTTCACCTTAAGCCGATTAACTCGCAGCTCTGAGGTCAGATTAAGGTGAAACGAATGTCGCACACTTCCTGTGTGGAAAATGTTGAATTTATCATCTTTCTTTTTTTAGGGGGGGGGGACGCAGGTTAAATCTGCTCGCCGCCGTCTCTTCTTTCTCTCTGGCTGAGAAACATCAAAGACAGAAATGAGTGTTTGCAGTTTCCTCTTCCTAAATCCTGCACTTCCAGATGAAAGGCGTCAGCGACACACGCCCTTCCTGTCATCACACATCTCATCACACAGCACACGCTGATGACTGTTTACACGCACACACACACACCTGTAACCTGAGCTGCTGTCTGAGAGCTTCCTGAGCCCGTGTTCACCTTCACATGAACGTCTCTGTTCATCACGCAGAGACCTGTTACCTGTGAGCCGTCAGACTCACGTCTGTGTTTGTCCGAGTTTGGCCACGACTGGAGAGTTTCTCACTCGATGATCTGATGGATCCAGATCTGAAGGATCTGCACAATCAGCTCGATAAGTCCTCCGGTGAAGAAAGCAACGTCAGTGCTTCCTTTAGCTGAGGAGACACTGAGCTTCCTCTGTGAAAGCAGAGAAGACAACAGCGTCCCACGAATGAAGAAGCCGTGAACATGACCGACAGGTCTGAACCTTAAACTACAGCAAAAATCTCTCAGAATAAAGATCATGAGCTTTACTAAAATTCAATTCAGTTTTATTTACAAGGCACCAAAAACACTGACTGGGAGAGTTTATGCCAGGGTGCTGGAAAGACGAGTTTGTCTGTTAGCCAAACCTCGGATACCGAAGGAACAAGGCGGTTTTCCCTGGATCAGCTCTTCAACCTCTCGAGGAGTTTGCCCAACCGGTCTACATGTGTGTGGACTTGGAGAAGGCATTCGACCGCATCCCTCTGAGTGTCCTGTGGGAGGCGCTCTGGCAGTATGGGGTGTTTGGCCCATTGCTACGGGCCATTTGATCCTTATACAACCGTTGCAAGAGCTCGGTCTGCAGAGCCGGCAATAAGCTTTCAGCAGGGTGGTGAATCTCTGCTTTTTGCAGATGATGTGGTTCTTTCGGCTTCGTGAGGTGATGCCCTCCACTGGAACGGTTCGCGGTGGGATTGAGAATCAGCATCTCCAAATCTGAGGCCATGGTCCTGAGCTGGAAACGGGTGGAGTGCCCACTCTGGGTCAGGGACGAGCTCCTGCCCCAATTGGAGGAGTTTAAGTATCTCGGGGATCTTTTTCACGAGTGACGGGACAAGGGAGATCGACAGACGGACCGGTGCTGCAGCTGCAGCGATGCGGACGCTGCACCGGTCCGTCGTGGTGAAGAGGGAGCTGAGTGTAAAAGCAAAGCTCTCATTTTACTGGTCGATCCAGGTCCCTACCCTCACCTGTGGTCGCGAGCTGTGGGCAGTGACCGGAAGAAGGAGCTCGTGGACACAAGCGGTGGCTGGTCTCTCCCTTAGAGATGAAAACCTGAAGAAAGGCAGGAATCGCCTGAATGTTTGGGAAAGTCATTCCAGAAGTTTTCTGCTTCATCTGCTCCAGAAACATCTGTTTTCTTTCAACATATATTCATTGAGCAGTTCACATGTTTGTATGACGATGGAAACAGTATCAGATAGTTGCTCTGTTTTTTACATTAACATCACAAAACATTACATAATATGGTGCAACACCCTCCCACACCCCCACAGTCCCAGCTGTCCAGCAAACTGTAACTGCTGGTTACAGCTGCAGACATGTGGGACAGTCTGTCACAAAGATATCGTATACCAGATTTAATGTGTTAGTCAGCTCATTGAGCTTTACGGGGGATGCATCTCTCTTCCTCCAGTGAGTGAGAAGTTTCTGTGCAACAATAATACAGCAAGCTATAAAACGTCGCGTTGCACTGTCTATTCCCACAGGATCATCACAGATGCCCAGAATAACTGTTAGTGGATCAACTGCACATGAAGAATTGAAACATTTGTTTAACCTTGGGACAAAACATGAAACTTAACGTGTCTTTAGCATTTCTCACACAGAGGAGACACCTCAGGGTTTATTTAACCTTTCTCTTGAACAGTGAGACTGTAAAGCTTTAACCTGAATCAGTGTCTTACATTATGGATATTCTGCAAATAGTTTCCCATCCAGCACGGAGATGGACGATAAGAACTTCCTCAGCATTACTTTCTTATAAATGACAGTGATAATTTCCTCTGTAAGGGTGGGAGGAGCACTTTATCTACCAGAGCAGAGAGCAGAGAGTAAATGTTTGATGCAGGCATGGGCACAAAGACCTCACTAAAATCCACTGCGATGCCATCAGGAGCCTGATTGATTTCACTTGAAGCAGCTGCTCTTGATTTCTTCTGTTGTTAGTTCTGTTGTTCTGTTGTGAGTGTGCGAGTTCATCCTCCCCTAGGTTTGGAGACGTGCTGCTGTCCCAGAACTTTTTCATAGAGTCACAATCTATATTTTGCTTAGTGTATAAATTTTGATAGAATTGGAAATATTGATTGTTAATGTCTCTGAAGCCTCGCCTGCATTATTGTTCTTGTTTCCTCAGGTGTCTTGTTAGTATTTTATCTGGTCACCAAGCTCAAAGTATTTCTGCTTGTGTACAAAAAAGCTTCACTGATTTTTGCTGAGAGTAGATCATTATATTCATATTTATTCATATACAAAGTGTAGCAGGCTTCGTTTACGAGTTGATCTGCGTTTCCAAATATTCATGAAGATCCTTCTCGCCCAACAAGAGAGGGTGAAGCCACCATCTTTGCTGCGGTCTAGTTGCATTTTGGATGTTTAAGGTTGATGTGACCTGGAAGTGATCCGAGATGACAATATTGTGAGAATTTGTGTCGATGACGTATGGCGTTGATTTGGCATCCAAAAGAAAGAAGTCAATTCTACTATATGAATTATGCCTAGTTGAGAAGAAAGCGTAATCCCACAGTGGGGTTTGCAGTTCAACATCAGACACATCTGAATTTTCGGTGTTAAGAAATGCTCTGGAGTTGTTCCTGACCTGCTCATTTAAAGAAGATCTGTCAAGGTCCAACAC